GCTTGTACCATCCTTCCATCTTCAAAGCTGACAGTCACATTTCCTTCCCTGACTCTGCCTCTTCTGCTACACTCTTTCCCTTAGGCAGACCCTTGTCCCACCTGGATAACCCAGGATATTTGCCCTCTTTAAAGATCCTTAACTTAATCAAAACTGCAAAGTCCCTTTTGCCATGTAAGGTAACATATTCACAGGTTTCAGGTATTAAAACATGGACATCTTTGGAGGAACCATTATTTTCTTACTTCAGCATCATGACAATGTTAAATCTGCCTATCCATGAACAAAGTATGAGTATATATCTCCATATATTTATGTGTTCTTAAATTCTGTCACTTTTCAGTGTGCAGATCTTTAACTAATTTTGTCATATTTCTCCTTATGTATTTCACATTTTTGATGCTTTTGTAAATCTTGATATTTTTAAAATTTAAAATTCCAACTCTTTATTTGTATAAATTTAGTTTTCATTTATTGATCTTCTACCCTGCAACTGTTCTAAAATCCATTTATTAGTTCTAGAAAATCAGTTGGATTTTCTACATAAATAATCATGTCTATGAATTAAGACAGTTTTACTTCTTCCTTCCCAATTTTTATTTATTCATTTTTCTTACCTGATTACAATTGTTAGAACCTCCAGTACTGTGTTAATAGGACTGGTGAGAATGGACATCCTTGTTTCATTCCTTATTTTAGAGAGCTTGACATTCCACTATTTAATATGATGCCAACTGCAGGTTTTTTCATGGATGCCCTTCATTGGCTTGAGGAAGTTCCTTTTATTCCTGGTTTGCTGAGTTTTAAATTAGGAATGGATGTTAGATTTTGTCAAATGTTTTTCTATATTCTCTTACCTATTGAGATGATTATTTGGTTTTCCATTTTCAGTTTGTTAACATGGTGAATTACTTTCTGTTCAAAATGCTTCCTAATTTTCCTTTTAATTTCTTATTTATCCATGGGTTATTTAGAAATATGGACTGTGTGAAATATTTTAATTTCAAAATATTTGGGAATACTTTCAGAGAGCTTATTGTTATTGATTTCTAATTTAATTTGTGCTCAGAGAATATACTTTCAGATTTAGCGAGACTTGTTTTACGGCCCAGAATTTTGCCTGTCTTGGTAAGTACTGTGTATGTACTTGAGAAGAATGTATATTTTTCTGGTACTGGGTGGAGTGTTCTATAAAATGGCAGTTGGGTCATGTACTTGTTCTGTCAATTATTGAGAGGAGGGTATTGAAATCTCTGACTGAAATTGTAAGTTTGTGTGTTTCTCCTTACAGTTCTTTTCATTTTTGATCCATGTATTTTTATGCTCTGTTACGGGGATACAAATGTTTAGAATAATTACATCTTTTAATTAATTGACTCTTATTATTATGAAATCACCTTCTTTATACATTCTGATATTTTTTCAATATTAATATAGCCACTCCAGCTTTCTTTTGAGCAGTGTTAGAATGGTATATATTTTCCACACCCTTTTGTTTTTTACCCGCTGTTATATTGCATGTTTTTATATTTAAAGTGAATTTCTTGTAAGCAGCATATGGTTTTGTCTTATCTTTTTATCCTATCTGGTACTAGGATGAAAAGGTAAGCCACAACTAACTACACTATATGCTGCCTACATGAAATGCACTCTAAGTCATTTACTTTTCAGGTGGTCATCAATAGGATTGTATATGAGTCTGTAATCTTGCTGTTTGTTTTGTATTTGTCCCATCTGTTCTTTGTTCTTTTTATATTCTTATTCTTCCTTTTTTGGATTGAGTATTGTCTATAACCCTGTTTATCAATTATCTTTTAAAGAAGACAGGTAGACAGACTTTATATTAACAAAAGTGACAAGATAGAGAAAAATATCTATGAAGAAAGGCAAAGCTGGAGAAAGCAATAGGAGTGATCTGATTTGGATAACGGGGAAAGTTGGTGGCAGTTTCCAGTAGGGTGGTCAGGAAAGGTGTTACCTGAAAATATGACATTTAAAAAAATACCTGAAGAAGACGGAGCAAGTCATGTGTATCTAGAAGAGAATTTCAGATAGAACAGCAATTATAAAAACCCCGGGATTTATCACCAGGAATGGACCTAATGGGTTCAAGAAACAGCAAGGAGGGCTGTGTGACTGGAGCAGAGCGGCAATGGAGGGCTAGATTGTGGAGCACCTTGCAGGAGTCTCAGTGAGGTGAAAAGCTACTGCAGGGCTGTGAGCTGGCAATGATACGACTTGACTTAGGTACTGTGTTGAAAATGAAATGTGTTGGAGAGTGGGAGCAAGAATAGCAATGGGATATCCAATTAGGAACTTATTATAATAATTGACTAGAGATGATGATAACTCAGTTCAGACCTGTGAGAAATGATTAGATTCTGAATATTTTGAAGGTTGTCACGAAGGATTTTCTGATGGATTTCATATGGGTATGAGAAAAGGAGAGGATTCAAGAATGATTCCACAGTTTTGGCCTAAGGAAACGGGAGGATAGAATTATATGCTGAGATGGGAAAAATGCCTACAATAGTCTGGCATGTGTGAAAGGTAGGTGCCTTGTGTTGGGAAAGGTAATTGTGCATGCAGTCTTTTGACCCCCCTCTTGGCCATGTAAGAATGGGCCTGGGGCCTGGAATGCTTTCTTATTAGGAGATAGAGTCCTTACAGCCTGTGCTCCTTTGTTCTGCACAACCATCATATAGCACCTGGTCAACCACATTGCTGTATCTGTCCCCTGATGGGGGGTGGGTCCTTCTGTGGCACAGGATGGGTGAGTACAGGTCAAATGCTCCGCATGGCTTCCAAGAGGGAACTCCTGGCTATTGGGGAACTGACATCACTATTGATGTTTACCTTATCTTCTCAATGTGAGCCAAGTGCTCTTCCACCAGTGCTTGACTGTGTTGTTTTCCATGGTGACTCCAGTACCAAGGTACAGTGGGTAGAAGTGTTTGGACTTATACTCCTGGAGATAGGCAACAGATGCCACTTGCCAGACACTTTGTAAATATTGAGTGGATGAACAAATAAATGAATGAAGGGGAAGGTTTGGACCTTAAGCTAGGGGCTGTTAATTTTGAGATGACTGTTAGACTTTCAAGTGGAGATGTTGAGTAGGAAATTAGATGTAAGAATTTGGAGGGCAGAGGAGAAGTCTGCTGGGACTCTCCTGGAAGTAATTTTGCATCACTTGAAAAAAATTACAAAATAATTTAGGAAGACTTAGTATTCTGTAATGAGTGTTTCTACCCCACAAGAGACATATGTAGGAATATTCATAAGAGCATTGTTAGTGTTAGACCTAAACTGGAAAACAATATTAATCAACAAAAGAATGAAAAAAATTATAGGGTAGTCATAAAATGGTATTCTACAGTAATGAAAATGAGTGAATTCAGGGAACTTGCAACAACATTGGTGAGGCCAGATATAAAAGAATTCTTTCTGTATGATTCCATTCGTATAAATAAAACTAAACTATACTGTTAGAAGTCAGATGTGAGGTTGTCTTAAGAATGGGAGCAGGTAGCGATTGGGGTACTTTCTGGAAGGTTGGTTATATTCTGATTTTTCACCTGGGTGGTGATTATGTGTTTGCTTTATTGTCATTCATTGAGCTGTATGTTTAAGTGTTGGGCAATTTGGGATACATGTTATAATTCTAAAAAAAAAAAAGTTAAACTGTCATGTTAATACATTGGCTTCCAAAGAATTTGTTGATCATACTCTACCTAGTTCCTAGATATCTATTCTTATGGTTTTACATAGTCATGAAACATGAAGATAATCCATTTAAACTATGGGGAGAAGAGTGTTGTGCAAATAACTGAATTTCTGATACTGGGAAAGAGGCAGAATAACAACCATGGTAGGAAATAGTGCAGGGCTTAGCATAACCCACTCTCTTGACATCTAGAAAGTTATTTGATTTTTAAGTTTGGAATTTAAAGTGAATTAGAGAAAACTCAGTAGATCTTGAGTTGAAATATGGCATTAAAACTCCAAACCCCACATATGAAACTATAAGATAGAACATTATTTATCAATAAAATGCAGTAACTTTATAAAGATATACTTAAGTTGAGTTAGATGTGTGTTAATTATTGACTCACCTTAATGCTCAAGCTCAAAATAATTTCTTATTATTTATGTTTACTAATGATATTAAAGCCACCTATGCAGTGTAGTTACTTAAGACCCATATTCCTCTCTTATGTATCTGTCATCATGTCCTCCATGACATTTTGATTTAATAGCCTCAGCTCGACTACAACTATAGACCAAATATAACAAGGTAAAATATAACGGGGACAAATGCAAGGTCTTACATTTAGGTTCACATGAAGGAAGTGGAAGTGTGACTTGCCAATATAGAGGATGAAGTTTCAGAAGGTTTGATTGATCTAAGATAATTCTTGAATAGGACTGTCCCCTCAAAAGCTTGATGTGATTATTGGCTGTGTTATTGCAAGTGTTGGGAGATCATTAGACCACACCAAGAGTATTATGTTCAGTTTGGGGCACCATATTTTAAGAGTGACATTAAGAAATTAAAGCTCATCTAAGGGAAAGAATCCAGTTTTGAAGATTTATGAAATATGGACTGTGTGGCTGAAGAAACCAGGACTCTGAAGTCTCACGGCACCCCTGTAAGACATTGTCCCCATTTTACAGATAGGAAATTGAGGCTCAAAGATAACTGATGGTTAATTAAAATGTAACTGAAAAGTGGTTGGTCCAGGCCCCTCATCTCTTGATTCTCAATCAAGTATTCTTATTTCAAAATATTAGTTTAAGTTACATTTTTAAGAAGCCTGGATGTTGACCACTATATAAGGATAAACTTGAAACTCTAAGGGAATGATTCCAGATTACAGGGGAGGAAAAGGAACATTTAGGGTAGGAAGATCAAAGGTAGTTTGGTTATCAGTATTATAAGTGTGTTAGTATTATAGAAATGTATTGTCTTAAACATATTTTTTCTCTCTTTTTTTAAGGTTTTTGACTCCAGTGAAGAATCTGGGTATCTCCTTCTCACCATAGTTATATCAGGTCATTTCTTCATTTCCCAAGGACAAACACTTCTGGTAGGTTTTATGCATATAGTTTAATATTGCAAATATTTTTTTATCTTCATAGTTTTACGTTAATTTTTATATCCTCAAGTTTTTTCAGTCTCACTGCAATCCATCACGTTCAGCAAGTAAGCATTTACTGAATGTTCTACAACAGTACAAAATAAAAAACATTCTGAATATTGCCTGCCCTAAATGGGATTAGGGTTTTGTTGGGAGTCAGAGGATTGAGATTAACCAGTACATAAGGAATCTTAATTGGGGAAATTGGGTTGAAAACAGGCTAGATTTATAGAGAAATGTGTGGAGGGTTTTCCAAAGAGAGTAAGGAACATAAAGAGGGATAGATTGAAAGAAATATATAAAAGAAAACTTGAAGCATGCTATTATTACTTAGTAAAGACCTCTATAAAACTCTAATTTTATAAACATGCATTTGTCCTTTATTCTAAATACACACATATTGTGGGAAATTTTGGGAATGAAGAAATATATAAAGAAGAAAATAAGAATTTTGGGCAGGGGGCAAGATGGCAGTAGAATAGGAGGATTTGTCTCACACTGCCTCCCAGAACCAAACTTAAAATAAAAATGAAGAGGGAAACATGCACCCAAAATAAACAACTGAAAAAACTATCTGAAAAGGAGACACTTAACCAAAGTTGGGCAGAAGCAACCTCAAGACTTGTAGAAAGGGCAGGGATGCAAAAGTGGACAGCACCACTTTCATGGCCAGTGGGTCAAGGTTGTGGCACAGCTGTGGGAGCTTCCCTCTGAGAAGTCTGAAGCCTGGACTCCAGACCAGCCCCCAAGCACAGAATGCCAGTGCCAGGTTCACCTGTGCACGTGGCATCCAGTGGTGAAAAGCCCTGGGGTTTTTGCCTGCTTGAGAGACAGCCTGCTGGAGAGAGAGAGAGACTGCTGGAGACAAAGCCACTTTCTTTCTTTTTTTCCTTTCTTTTGTTCTAAGGGGCCAACATGCAAGTTTTTCATTCACAGCCACTCATCTTGGCCTTGGGTGAAGGAAGGGCAGCATGGTCTGGAGTCTTGTGAGGAGAGTCTGGAATGAGAGGTTTAGGGGAGATGTATGGGGAATGGCTACTGGGTTCTCAGTGCTAGGACATACCTCCATATCACAGTCGCTATTTTTCTTTAGAAGAGCAAGCTCCTCCCAGGGGAAAAACAATTATCTTACCCTATGGGAAACTGCTCACTTCATCCTCTGGAATCTTTGTAGTCCTGTCCTCTGGACTCCCTCTCGCCCCAACTCTGAAATCCTGCTTTCCCCACCCTGTTCCCTCCCCTCCCCCTGAGGTACAGGCATACCTCAAGAAGACAGAAAAATCTCAAACAGACTACCCCTACACCTAAAAGAACTAGAAAAACAACAACAAACAGAACCAAAAGGGAGTAGAAGGAAGGAAATAATCAAGATCAGAGTGGAAATAAATGATATAGAGACAAAAAAAAAAATTAACAAACCTTTAACCAGACTCAGCAAGAAAAATAGAGGACCCAAATTAATGAAATCAGAAATGAAAGGGGAAATAATGGATGCCACAGAAATACAAAGGATTGTAAGAGAATACTATGAACAATCATATCCCAAAAAATAGGGCAACCAGTGTGAAATGGATAAATTTCTAGAAACATACAATCTCCCAAAACTGAATCAGGAAAAAGCAGAATACCTGAATAGACTGATAACAACTAATGAAATCGAAGCAATAACCAAAAACCTCCAAAGAAATAAGAGCCCTGGACCAGATGGTTTTATGGGAGAATTTTACCAAACATTCAAAGAACTAATGCCCATCTTTCTCAAATGATTCCAAAAGATTTAATAAGAGGGAAGGCTACCAAACTCTTTTTATTAGGCCAGTATTATCCTAATTCCAAAACCAGGTAAAGACACAACAAAGAAATAAAACTGTAGGCTAATATCCTTGAAGTCATCGATGTTAAAATCTTCAACAAAATATTGGCAAACCAGTTCCGGCAACACTTTAAAAAGATCATGCACTGGATTTCAAGATGGCAGAGGTAAGAGAGGAAGTCACACTGACCTCCTCCCCAGACCAATCTGGAATTACAACTAAATTCTGGAAAAATCACCTGGAAAACAACTGAACAACAGCGAGAGGAGCCTTAAAACCTCAGACAGACAGAGGAATCTGCTTTAGCACAACCTAACTGATAAGGAGTGCAGTAGAGGCTCAAGAAGGTGGAATAGGCACCCATGGGCAGCAGTGCCAGAGGGATATTGAAATGGCCAGTTGGATCCCCCTGAAAGGAGCAGGGTCTAAACCGTAAGCAGGGATCTCCAGCCTACAGCACCAGAGCCCAAAAAGCACACAGATAGCAGCCACTATGAAAAGCGGCAGTGTGCTCTCTGCCTGAGACAGGTGGTTGGAGATGCAAAGGGCCATTTAAAGTGCCAATGCAAAAATTTGTAGTGGCAGCCACTTTCCCTGGGCTTCAGCAGAGGTAGGGGCAGAGTGGGCTGGAGCTGCCTGAGGAGAGACTGGAGAAAGAGGCTTGGGAGAAAGAACTGAGAAAGTGGATGCCAGGGTCCTAGTGCTGACTCACCCCCCATTTTGCAACTGCCATCTTTCTCAGGAGGAGTGGAGGCAGACCACTCCTCTGAGTGGCAGCAGCATGAAAGGACACAATAGCCACATTCCCAGTAGACTCGATCTGGGCCCGGTGTTGCCCAGGCCCAGATGCTGAGTACAGAGTGGTAGTCCCAGATTGTAGACCCCTGGCTAAAGGGGACTCAGAATGGCCTAGAGATGCTTGAGGAAAGTCTGGTGACAGAGGCGTTGGGGTGAGAACTGAGGGAGTAGCCAGGGAGGGGGGTATCCCGGTGCTGACTCCTCTCCCATATGGCAGCAGCCATCTTGCTCAGGAAGACCATGCCCCCAAGTGGAAGCAGCATGAAAGGACACAGTAGCCCCAAACCCAGGAGGCTTGGCCTGGCCCAGTGTTGGGCAAGCCCAACTGCTGAGTACAGAGCAGCAGTCACAGATAGCAGATCCCTTGTTAATAGGGATGCATAGTGGTCTAGAGATGCTTGAGGAGAGTCTGGTGACAGAGGCATTAGGGAGAGAACTGAGGGACCCTGGTGCTGACTCCTTTCCCATATGGCAGCAGCTATATTGCTCAGAAAGACTACTCCCCTGAGTGGCAGCAGTGTGAAAGGACACAATAGCCCCACCCACAGGAGGGACTCTGCCCCATCCTGACTGCTGAAGGCAAGGTAACTAGATTAACAACTGGAGGAGTCAGACACAGAGAGTAAATTCCTGGAAGTCTCTTAAAGACTGCCTAAAGTCAGATGAGGTCAACAACTGACATCATCAGAGGCCAATCCAGAGAAAAGAAAAAAAAATGGTCTCCTACCATAGAAGTTCACATGACAACAAAATCAGGAATTCAAGGCAGATCAATTTAAGGAGCAGAGCAAAACTAAGAGTCTCACAAATAATGGGAAGATAAAAAAAAAAAAACAACAACTCCCAATTGAAGGGAAAGGAGGAATCCCCACAAAGAGAACGAAATGAAATAGAAACAAGTAAACTATCACATATTGAGTTCAAAACAGTGGTTCTAAGGAAGCTCGTGAGCTCAAAGAGAATTACCAAAAACTACAGGGAACCTATGAGTAACTTATTGCAAACTATATCAACATGAAAAAAGACACAGAAATTATCAATAAGAGGCTAGAGGAAATGAAGAATATAAAAATTGAAGAACACAGTAGAAGGAATCAAAAGCAGGCTAGATGAAGCAGAGAACCGAATCAGTGAGCTGGATGACAAGGTAGAAAAAAGCTCTCAGAAAGAACAAGAAAATGAAAAAAGACTAAAAAAGAACGGAGACATTGAGGAAAATGCAGGACAACCAGAAACGTAATAATATCCGTATAATAGGGATACCAGAAGGAGAAGAGGAGTAAGGGATAAAAAACCTGTTTGAAAAAGTAATGATGGAAAACTTCTCTAATTGAAGGAGAAAAAAAGTCACACAAGTCCAGGAAGCACAGAGGGTCCCATTCAAGAGGAACCCAATGAGGTCCACTCCAAGACACATCATCATTAAAATGGCAAATAGCAAAGACAAACAGAGAATCCTAAAGCAAACAAGGGAGAAAGAGGTAGTAACATACAAAGGAGCCCTAATACGGCTAGCAGCTAAGTTCTCAACATAAATACTGCAAGCCAGAAAGGAATGGCAAGAAATATTCCAAGTCATGAAAAGCAAGGGCCTGCAGCCAAGACAACTCTACCCAGCAAAGCTCTCAATAAAAATGGAAGGTGAAACAAGGAGTTTCCCAGACAAAAGGCGGCTAAAAGAACACACCGCCACCAAACCAGCACTACAAAATGTCTTAAAGGGACTGCTTTAAGAAGATGAAGAAAAAGATTGAGAAAGAGAGGATCACAGGTATTAAGGGAAAAAATGAATAAGTATCTATCAATAATAACTTTAAATGTAAATGGATTAAATGCCTTGATCAAAAGACATAGGATAGCTGAATGGATAAGAAATCATGAGCCATACATATGCTGCCTACAAGAGACCAACCTCAGAACAAAGGACCTATACACACTGAAAGTAAAGGGATGGAAAAAATATTCCAAGCAAATGGACAGGGGAAAAAAAGCAGAGGTAGCAATACTTATATCAGACAAAATAGATTTTGAAACAAAGGCCATAAAAAGAGACCCAGAAGGACACTTTATAATACTCAAAGGAAGAATTGATCAAGAAGACATAAATATTGTAAACCTATATGCACCCAACATAGGAGCACCCAAATATATAAGGAAAATCTTGGAGGACGTCAAGAAACATATAGACAGTAACACACTGATAGTAGGGGATTTTAACACCCCACTGTCAGAAATGGGTAGATCTTCCAAACAAAATATTAACAAGGATATTGTGTAACTGAATGACACATTAGAGCAAATGGACTTAACTGACACATATAGAACCCTTCATCCCAA